TTTTTCATATGGATATTCTAAGTGGCTTTAATATGAATAATTTGCAATTTTCCTTGAAAATAATAGAGAATAAAAAATCTTAGACTTGACTGCTAGATATTCTTATACCTTTAGTATTAACTGAAGTTATTTTAAATTTTTCTTAAGTTATACTATTATATTTAGTGGACTTAAATATAGAAATCTAGAAGTTAAAATCTTTTACATGAGTAATATTTTTATGTAGTAAAGAAGTTACTTGAGGACAAGTAACATTTAAGTTTGGCGGATTTTGATACACAAAAAATATATGTATTTTTAAACCCATATTTTATACTTATTTTTTGTGATATTACACTTTAATGGAAGGTATTTTTTTTGTTTTATTGCAGGTTATTGATTTTTATGACTAAACTTGGAGCAAAAATGAAACAAAAAGGATGATATTTGAAGTCAAAATGGAGATTTTGATAATTTGTTCAGCGCCGAGCGCCAGACTGGGCATCAATGGTGTCGTTTAACATAGAAGGCGGACTAAATTAAATGGCCTCTGGCACCGTGCATGCCCTTTATTTGACAACTTTAGATGCTTCTAAAAGATTTGACAACTTTAGATGCTTTTTGAAGAGTTTTTGGATGCACCTATTGGAGGCTCTATTTAGAGCCAAAATTGATCAGAAAAGAGCCCTTTTCATACATCTTCGTGCTCCCTGCTTCATCTCTCTAAGCCATCCATCACCCCTTCTTGCTACTTTACATCATTCCACGCCATTCCACACCATTATCTAGTTAATTTCTTTATAGTTTTGAGTTTTAGTGGTGAGTTTAAGTGTGAATTCTTCTCTAAGTAGTGTTGGAGAGGAAGAAAAGTGAGAGATTTCTTCTTCCTACATTTCCTAAGAGAGGCTACAAGGAATTTGCTTTGAGAAAAAGTTTCAAATAAGTGTTATTTGTTTATTATTGTTGTATGAACTTTCTTTTATATATGAAATTTGTGTTTTATTGCATCTTTCTCATGAAGTTTGAGTTTGAGTAGTTTTCCTTATCTTCCTTATCTTTCTCCCTACTCTGAGATATGGTGAAATGAAGAGATAATTAGGATGTGTCAATGTTAAAATTTAAAATAAATTGTGATGGTTTTTCAACTCTTCTATTAATTTACTTTTTGATCTGGCCAACTGAATTGTTAAAATATGTTATGAAACATATGATATGAGAAATGGAGTATGAGTTCTCCAACAGAGTTAGAATCACATTTAAGTCCAAGAATGAGTATTTCATTTATGGAATTAAGTGCAAATAAATAGGAAAATATACTTTGTTGGGTGTAGAATTGGTTACTTTTAGGGTGATAGACTAAAAATCCTCAATTCGATCTTAGTGTTTTAAAACTAAAGTGAGAGTTAGCCTTCAGGGAAAGGGAAGTGGGAGCTCTGCAGTGGGTGCCAGTATCCTCCTAGGCTAGCCACGGATTTAGGGACAAAACCTAAGTTTAGTGACGCTGACTTTATATATGCTTACAAATACAAGAAGTTGATACTGCTGCTAGAAGATTTAATTCCCCGGCAACGGCGGCAAAAACTTGACAGTAGTTATAGATTCGATAAAGATGTATATAAAATATTCAATAATTACAAAGTCACACTTATCAAAGCAAGTATACGTATCGCTCAAGTAATACAGGGCTCTAATGGAGTCCTAGATA